CAGGCAGGTGCTTTGCCGCTGAGCTAAATCCCCAGCCCCTCTGTGCTTTCTCTATGTGCAAATTCTTCAGGGATGGAAAAAAAAATATCAACTGAAGAATAAACATGTGAACAGGATCAGCAGTCCTGTCAGGGTACTAAGAAACAGAAGATAAAATGCGTTTCAACAAAAACTTAAAGAATTCAGAGTTAAAATAGGATTTCACACACACACACACACACACACACACACACACACACACACACGTGGGAGACAGAAATGATCCAAGATGAGAAATGACAACCATGTACACCTAATACACACAGTTCGGCTTTGGCAAGGCAACATCTGGGGAGAATCCAGGAACTACATGTAATGGTACAACTTACCTCCCTTTGGCAGAAACGATCTAAAATTTTATAACATAATGGCATATTGACATAAAAAAATTATACCTTTTTACTGGGCTTGGTGGTACATGCCTGTAATCCCAGCACTCCAGAGGCTGAGGCAAGAGGATTACTGTGAGTTTGAGGCCAGCCTGGGCTACATAATAGATCAAGGTTAGTTTATGCTATGTAGTGAGACCCTGTCCCAAAACAAACAAAACAAAACAAATCTATATCTATCTATATCTATATCTAATCTATATCTATATCTATCTTTTTAAGGAATGATATACAAAACCAACTCAAGTTATAGCACAGGCAACGAATGACCTAATTCTGAAAAAGACAAGAAATGCTACATATCACTCTTGGTTATTTTAGCTACCACCCCTGATAGAGACCCCATGAATAGATAAAGCTGTGAAAGTTGGGGACTTCCAAAGACAAAATGTTTTATGTGTGGGAAGTTGAGCAGAGGACACTTTCGGGTAAGTGACAACACAAGAGGAAGTAGAGACACGTTTTTAGAAGACTACTTACACAAACTGAATCTAAAGAGCCACATACAGCAGGACCGCAAGTATGTGCGGAGAATGTAATAGGTTGCTAGAGCCTAAAAATAATTCTAGGGCGTTCTGTACTTTTTGTTTTGCATCTTTAAATTTGGTATTGAATGATATAGCTGAAATTTATTTTGACAGTATTGAACTTTTTATATCATCCAAGAAAATATATAACTATTCTTTTTGCTTCAACCAAATGTTGGGGTATATTGAAAAGGCATTTATGGGACATAAAATTTAAAATCATTGTTGAATATGGGATGGGAAAATTGAGTAGATGCCATCTTGCTACTAAAACTTAATTAGAGGGAATATGCAGGGCATGTAAATGATGTGAATAAAAATATAGATCCTTAAATGCAAGTCAGAAGTGTGCTGCTGAAAACATTTTAGAATGTGTTGCTCAGTACTAATAGGAGTGATTATAAAATTACTGTTATGAGAAGAATTAAACAAGAACACATGGTCAATGCATATCCACCCCCTTGAAAGCATATAATGTGTTTAGAAAACCTTTCAAGAAAAGTTATGAAAAGCTA